ACATCCTGACTCTGATTTTGACTGAGATTTCCGGGAGTACCCATGACATTAACATACGCTGTTAATATTCTCCCAATAACTCACTTTTATGCATCTTACTCTGGTTGGTTAAAACCCCAAAAAAGAGACATGGCATCAGTACAGCATAACAACAATACCCGTGCCACTTGGTTTAAAGCTAGCTCGAGTATCACCAGCAGCCTGGAGCTAGGAATGCTGGCGCGCCTCTCCGGCACACACAAACTGTGCAGCATTGCTCTGCAGCTGATATGGTGCAGTTGCACTCAATTCTGCTCAGAGATTAGAATCACCTCATTCAGAGAGCTCACACAACTAATCGTCCCAGGTAGGGCAGCTATCAGGCATTCAATGCCTTTTCATCCCGGAGGAGAGAAAAGTATTTTAGCAGATAAATACTTCTTAAACAATTATGTTGTAATTCAAACGACATCCTTCAGTGTCGGCAATATTCTGAAGTGGTGAAAAGTTTTAAAAGTTCGATTAACAAACAAAAAGATTAAAGCTCCTTCGGTCCAGGAGGGGCGTTGGAATCAATGAAAGGATCAAATGGGACACAGCCTATTGAACATAAACTTGCTTCAGACAGGCACGCCCTCACTGCAGTTTATGAAGGACAAGCTACCTTCCCCCCACCCCCCATTTCAGAGATGAATCCTAAATCCACATCTCACACTCTGGAATTTAAAGATTCACCATCTTGACAAACCTCAATTTTCCTTCTGCTAGATTCTGCTGGAAAGGTTAAGATTTGCCACAGGAAAAAAAGGGAGGGGGGCAGAGGCAGGGACGGGGGAAGAAATTAATCCCACAACCAAACCAAGACACATGCTATGAAGTGAAAAAGGTTTTCTACTTGGGCTTCTGACAAGGATATTTCCTATGTCTACTGCAATCCTTGACATACTGAACTACTTCTTAGCTCTTAAGAGATCTGGGTCCACTTTAAGTTCAGTTAAAGTTCATCTGGCAGCTCCATCAGCCTGCTCCTCTGGCAAGTGTTACTGGTCTGTGTACCCAAAGCAGGGCGGGGGGAAAAAAAAAAGCTTGCTATGATGAGGTTATATTTTTTTAATTAAAAAAAATATAACAAAAGGGATGTGGAAACGGTACTATGAAAATTCCATTAAATCTATATTCAGCAGAGATAATTTTTTTCCTGAGACTCTAAGTAAAAATTTGAGTATCTTATTAGCTATTTGTTGGAGGACTGTGGTCTTGAACCAGTTAATGAAGAAATGTAATGGGCCTTCTTGCATGCAGCATTTCTGCATGAGTAGGTAAAGTTCCTGCATCTTCAGTCCCTATTCAAACTAATTCCGAACTGGGGAGTGAGGCACAGCTTTCGTCATCTTCTCTGTCTTCTCACTAGGAACATTCAAGCTGCATAATCTCAAAAGTTAAGTACCTCCTTACACAATCACCCACTTCATAGACTTTCAGTGTGTATAGTTTTAAGAAGACTGAGGTGAAGTCCAGTTTTCAGACACTGTCCAAGAAGTGTAGCACTTGAATTTTACTCGACTGCAAAGTTCTACCTCTTGCAGAGAAAAGCAATGAGGACTGCTGGAGCAATAAGAAAACAGAGCACATTTACAAGTATGTGTGACTTAACTGACACTAATCAGCCGTGATGCTGCCCAGAAGAAGGGCTACAAACTGTTAAACACAAATTGTTAAGCAGCATTGCCCATCAACCCTCTGTGCTCATCTATCTGTTGGCTTCCACTGGGAACCTGTTGTAAGGGGCTACACTTCTCAGTACTACAAGAAGTACGAAGAAGAGAAACTGGGCTACGGAACACAACGGATGAAGAGTGGGGACAAACAGCTAAACAGCTATCTAGCAACACCATACAGGAAGCGCCTAAAAATGTTATTTTAATATATGTATTTAAAAGAACAAAGATTATTAGTACAGGGATGGCTAGCTTGGAGGCAGGCTTGGACAATCTTTATATGCCAAATGTGTGAATTAAGTAGTTATTTTTAAACTTATATGAAGCCTTCAGGAGCTGTTCTAGGACAGACATAGCAACTCACCTTCAGATTGTCTGGCCCATTGCCTTAGTGGTCTATCATGTATTCAAAACAATGGCTTTTCCCACAGCTGGCTGAGAAAAGTACATTGCAAGCATACAGGCATTGATATAAGTTTTTACAGCATACCAAAAAAAAAAAAAAAAAGGGCAGTAGAGTTGTTTCAGTAAATATACTGAAGTGAGGAGCCAAAATAACCACTTGGGCCTAAGATAAACTATTTTTAAAAATATCTCTCCTAGCAGAGATGATGAAAAGGAGCCTGGATTTAGTTGAATGAGTCTTAGCAACAGTTTTTAATCACACCACTTTGCACAGCACCTCCTTTTTTGCTGCCTTGATCCCTAATATATTCTTAGAACAGGCACTTCATCCCCTCACCGAGAACCACCCCAATGGTCACAGTAGTGGCCAGAGAATATACACTTTATTCCATTTCTGGTTTTATCCATTACAAACTACTACACTGAACCTCCCTACACAACTTACCACACCACTAAGACTTAACAGTCTTCACAGTTACCAATGGATGAAAGAAAGAAAACATACCACAGATCAGGTCAAAATAATTTTTCAGTCTACATAAAGAATTTTTAATCTCTCTTCTTCATAAATACAACAACGTTGGAACTTCAAGTTTATTCAGCTTACAGTGATTTGTTCTGGCAAATTTTCATAGGGGCATGAATGGAAACATTAGTGTTATTCACTCTGCAATACAGCATTACCTCTTTATCCTTATATTTTGCTGCTATGGAGGCAACATGAAGGTACATAAAATACCTTAAAAGATATAAGCAGGCAATGAGAGGGATCATCAAATCCAAGCAGCCATTTAAAAGAGAAAACAAGACAATGAACACCTTGAAATATTTCACTTAACACTTAATTACCTGCTAGAACAAAATATACATGCTACTTTAGCCCTGTGACCCAATTTCCTGTACAAAATATGAGCTGGAGAGTCATGAAGCAGAAGCATAGTTGATAAACACATAACACTCACTAATTTAATGCATTTCTTTTGTTTTGACAGTGCTATCTAAGTCCACTGTAGCAATTTGCCTCGCTTTTGAAAGTACAACTAATAATCTACAGTTACCGTAACTGTTAACTTCTGAAGCATACCCTGTAGAAGGAGATGGTGCTCTAGGCACTAGCTTAGTTTTCACTTAGAACAAAGTCCATCTGATCACTCAGCAAGGAATTAGCAACGGTCATCTAGAAATTGGTTTTGTTGCACTAACATAAATGAAATACCTAAGCCATGCTCATCACAGATGTTTCCCAATGAGATCAATGCTACATATAGCATCACACAAACCATCTATCCTAGGTCAATACATCAAGTTTTAGTTATACCTCAAACTCACCTGTTGAACGATTATGTGGAAGAACCATCACAAAATACTTTTTATTGAAATACTGTTAAAAACTTTCTGGTCAACGACCTCCTCAATGGTGATAAAGAGAGATCTTACAACATTCTCTGGCTAGGAAAAGGAGTCTGAAGCAGTCACTCACATTACTGGGTTCCACCTCCTCCTTTCCTTTTTGCTAACTAACATTCAGTGCCGCTGCTCTAGCAGCAGAACAGCACATACGCGCATGAGGGGGCTGCCACAGGTCTGAAGGGGAAACCCCACCAAGGGGGGGTACATCCTGCTCACTCTCCTACAGATGCTGGGAGGCACCACTGAAAGGTGGTATTCTCACACCACAACTCCTGATGCTTTGAATAAGCTGAAGGTGGGCAGTCCACTTCGTCAGGACAGCCTTTCAAGCCCACTGCTGTCAAGGACCCTAGTAAGGACAATGTCAGGCTGGACAAAAACAGCCTTTTAATTCCCATCGCTTTTCCATTTCTCTTACTGGTCTACGAAGGGGTTCACAACTGTGGGGCAGGACATTCTTGCCTTCCATGCCATTTCCCAGTCCTCCCTGTCCAACCCTGTGACACAGCTTGAGAGTCATTCAGTTTCTCCTCTTTATGGTCACTGAACAAGTCCTCTTTTTCCCCACACACAGGGTTTAGTTCTGGTCCTCCCACACTAAAGGACTGTGCTAGCATCACTGATCCTTCCTTGGAAGAAGGATTCCAGCAATGGGTAAAGGAGTGAACGCAGCTTAAGCAGAATACCATCGCATGCCCAAAATGCTTAATTTTGAGCCAAATATAGCAGCAACAGGAAAAACAGTATCCCGGACTTCACTGCTCTTTCCCAGCTTCATAAAGGAGTTTGAGGGCAAGTTACTGTATGACAAGCTTCACTTGCTTTCACAAAATGATAGAAAAGCAGCAATATGGACGCAGTAAAAACCTCATGCAAGTAATGGGAGTGAAAAGAAATAGCAGTAGCAGGAGAAACCAAATGTTCCTACTCTCTGCAACCACAAACAGTAAAGACTGGGGTTCAATGTCCAGTATCAAACTTCACATGCACACAGAGGGAAACAGACTGTGAAGTGAGTTACTGAAAATGTCTTAACATCCAGCGAAACAAGCTTGGTAAAAGTTGGTAGCAACAACTGCCATTAAGGAGGAAGGAGACTATATAGCCAGATTTTCTCTCTACTACGTTCGCAGATCAAATAAAAAGACAGTAAACCAGCAGAACATATTTTGAATGGAGGTATTACAGGAACTCTTCCTTTTCACAGTTCAACTATCCTAGTTAATTTTAAAGAAGTTTCGACATATCTTTCCTTTAAACAATCTACAGGGAACAGCTGAGGGCAAATACAATTGGACTAGACTCAGGGCCAGGCTTTTTTCAAGCAGCATAAGGGAAGGTCCCCCAACTCTTAACTGCAATTGAAGAAACAATTAAGTTCTTATATTTAAAAAAATGCATCACTATGGTGACATCGTACCAACACAAGACTTCCCACATAAAAAAATACAGTGCAGGCTATATATTTCACAAAATCCAAAGCCTTACCAGTCAATAACAATTCTTCTTTGATTTGTATTCCATGAAGCAATTTGATCAAATGGACGGATGTAGCGATGAGACCCAAGTTCCTATTAAATTGGGAAGGGGAAGAATAAAAATCACTTCATATGAAATACACTCAAATAAAGCCAAAAGGCTTTTCATGCGAGTTAACAGCAAGGCTTTAACATCTTCAGAAACTGAAATAAAAAGCAGTTTCTCCTACTTAACTGTACGTGACTATCAGTAGCTGCACTACTACCACCACAAGCAAAAGAAATTAATTTACTGCATCAGCCTGCATATTAACAATTTTGGACACAATACTTCCAGAGCTAAGTACCCTTTCCTCTCCCGTTTGCTGTTCTTCTAATTCAGATGTTTAAAATCAGCAGGTTATTCCTGCAATTTAAACAGCTTTATTGGTGTAAAAACTTTGCTTTTTTTGAAGTTCAAGTGTTCATGGAAAGTGTCAGTATATGTTACTTAGTAATAAACTTTGGGGATTTTAAATGCCAACAAAATGATTAATGACAGCCACTGAACAAACAACAGGGCCAGTTCAAAGGGAAACATAAAACATTTTATGAAGGAAGCAGGAAAGCTCAAGTAAACATTTATCCTTTCTCCAGTGAGAAATCTCAAAATGATTTGGGTTGGAAGGGACCTTTAAAGATCAACTAGTCCAATCCCCTTCTGTGGGCAGGGACATCTGCCACTAGACCAGATAGCCAAATGCCCCTTCCAACCTAACCTTGAACACTTCCAGACATGGAAAAACATGGTGATAGTGAAGATAAACCAGTGAAGTGATGCCATTTAGAACACCAAAATAATTCTACAGCCAAAGATCAGCAGTCCTGGAGGTAAACAACATACATGCCAGGATGCACGTGCAACAGGAATAGAAAACATAAGTCAATGAACACAGTATAAACGGATAAAGTTTTCAGTTTTTAACTCGTTTGTACTTCAGCAGTCAAGCTTTGTGAGAAGAGATTGAGGAAGACAGAGCAGCTGAAACTTCAGCACACATGCACCCTCTACACTCACACGAGTTACTTAAAAAAAACCCTATCATTACATATGAATGCTGAATAATTGCCTTCTGCAGATGTTTGCTAAACAAACATATGCTCTTTCCCATTAAGTTCTAACACAGAGGGGCAGCCAAAGATACATTTATAAATGTATAATACACACATGCACATACAACCTATTAAAATAAAAACATTTCCCTTTCCTGCAGACCCCAAATCACAGCACACAATGCAGAAAAACTGGCTGTGGAAGGAACACAACTTCATATTCCCCAATAGTTTAAAAGCTGTTACACAATCGATGTTTACAATCTGCATTCTTTCCCAGAAACAATTAGTTTTGATTTTGATCAAACAATTTGTAGTTTGGGGGTTCTTTTGGAACATGTGAATGTTGCACACTTCAAAACAGTATCAAAGGTACATAATCTTCCTTCCATTCACAACTTTTCAGGACATTTAATTCCTAAGGAAGTTGTGCATTTGCAAACGTTTAAAATCAACACAAACGTATAGCTAACATACAGCTGGCTCAAAGCACGCTGTGCGGTATTAAAAGGTCCATATGTTTTATGCTGCTACAAAGCGAAACACTATCCAATGAGTAACCCGCTGAGTCCTTCACTGTTACAAACATGGTCAGAACTTTCATACATACAGGCCTTCCCCGCCTGCAGTTTAAAGAAAGTATAAGTATTAGCATCCAGCTTCCTAAATAAGCAAGTCTGTGCTAACCGCCCCGTGAGGGCAAGTACACAGCACAGCTATAACCACTGCAGAGCACATTTCTGCTCAGAAGCAGGCTGGATATCTGAATTCCATCAGAAAGTAAATACTACATTTTTACTCGGGGAAAAGCTCTGCAAGTTTGTATTTCTCATGCTACTGCAAAGGGCAATCCTGCCGGTCCCCAGCCCTGCAGTTCTGCTCCCCCTGTTTTGTTAACATGAGTAACTATGGAGCTACATAAGTTAAAATAAGTAACACAGTTTGATGTTTGGCTGAACATCCACCAAGCAAAAATTTAGAAACAATCATGTAAGTTTTCTGTCAGATGAGTTTCTTGACCCACAACATGATCACAAGTGCTAGCATGGCCAGGAAGAAAAAGGTAAGAGCCTGAACTTCGATTTACCTTATTCTAAAACTAACGACTTCTGTGAAAAGTCCTGCAACATTTTGGCCTTAACAAAATTCTGCCCCAGCACAGAAGTTGTGAATTTGTCCCATATCAAAACTATTTGACAGATGGACTGCTCAATGGATAAAGAAATGGCCGGATGGTCACACTGAGAGAGTGGTGGTCAATGGCTCAATGTCTGAGTGGAGATCGGTGACAAGCGGTGTTCCTCAGGGGTCGGTGTTGGGACCTGTACTGTTTAACATCTTTGTCAGTGACATGGATGATGGCATTGAGTGCACGCTCAGCAAATGTGCTGATGACACCAAGCTGTGTGGTGCAGTGACACGCTGGAGGGAAGGGATGGCATCCAGAGGGACCTGGACAGGCTGGAGAGGTGGGCCACTGCCAACCTCATGGAGCTCAACAAGGCCAAGGGCAAGGTCCTGCACCTGGGTTGGGGCAATCCCAAGCACAAGTACAGGCTGGGTGGAGAATGGATCGATAGCAACCCTGAGGAGAAGGACTTGGGGGTACTGGTGGATGAAAAGTTGAACATGAGCCAGCTGTGTGCGCTGGCAGCCCAGAAAGTCAACCGTATCCTGGGCTGTATCCAGAGCAGCGTGGCCAGCAGGTCGAGGGAGGGGATTCTGCCTCTGTACTCTGCTCTGGTGAGACCACCTGGAGTTCTACGTCCAGCTGTGGAACCCTCAACATAAGATAGATATAGACTGGTTGGAACGAGACCAGAAGAGGCCAGAAGATGCTCAGAGAGCTGAAGCACCTCTGCTATGGGGACAGGCTGAGAGAACTGGGCTTGTTCAGCCTGGAGAAGAGAAGGCTCTGGGGAGACCTTATTGCAGCCTTCCAGTACCTGAAGGGGGCTACAAGGAAGATGGGAGGGACTTTTTACAAGGGCCTGTAGTGACAGGACAAGGGGTAACGGGTTTAAATTGAAAGTGGGGAGGTTTAGATTAGACATCAGGAAGAAGTTCTTCCTGGAGAAGGTGGGGAGGCATTGGGACAGGTTGTCCGAGAAGCTGTGGATGCCCCATCCCTGGAAGTGTCCAAGGCCAGGCTGGATGAGGCTTTGGGCAACCTGGTCTAGTGGAAGGTGTCCCTGCCCATGGCCGGGGGGTTGGAACAAGATGGGCTTTAAGGTCCCTTCCAACCCAAACTGTACTATGATTCTATATTTAGTTAATTAAAGCAAATTTTAAGATTGTACTCCACAACAATTCTTCATGATCTAAAAAACTTTAAAAGGACTTTGGTTGGGGTTTTTTTGTTGGTTTTGGGTTCTTGGTGGTAAGGGGGGAGCGCAGGGGGGAGGATGTTAGTTGGTTTAGGTGTGGGTTTTTTTGTTGGGTTTTTGTTTGTTTGGGGTTTTTGTTTCTTTGTGTGTTTTTTGTTTTGTTTTGAAAACAGCAAGTAGACTACCAGGTTTTCAGTAATTATTGCTGGTTGTACCCCAAGAATCTCCTCAACGCTGCAACAAACACTGGCAAAAAAATAGGCTAAATAACTTAAGGAACCAAGCTGATGTCTTACTGTCCATTAACACTGGTTTACCTGTATATGTATCAGGGTTAATATGCTACATGCTGTACTTTGCCATGAGTACCAGGCAGATCTAAAATACACCTTAAAACAACATAGGAATCCTGATAATTAACACTATTTACTTACTATGATATCCAAAAAAATTAAACAAGCAAAATGGGGTAGTTTTACAGTCAGTCTTAGAATCATAGAACGGTTTGGGTTGGAAGGGGCCTTAAAGACCATCTATTTCCAAACCCCTCACATGGCCTCCACTGGGCACACTCCAACAGGTCCACATCCACCTTTTTTGGGGGGCCCCAGGGTTGGATGTAGAACTCCAGGTGGGGGTCTCACAAGAGCAGAGTACAGAGGCAGAATCACCTCCCTCGACCTGCTGACCACGCTGCTCTGGATACAGCCCCGGGTACGGTTGGGTTTCTGGGCTGCCAGCGCACACTGCTGGCTCATGTTCAGCTTTTCATCCACCAGCACCCCCAAGTCCTTTTCCTCAGGGCTGCTCTCGATCCATTCTCCACCCAGCCTGTACTTGTGCTTGGGGTTGCCCCAACCCAGGGGCCGGACCTTGCCCTTGGCCTTGTTGAGCTCCATGAGGTTGGCAGTGGCCCACCTCTCCAGCCTGTCCAGGTCCCTCTGGATGGCATCCCTTCCCTCCAGCGTGTCAACCACGCCACACAGCTTGGTGTCACGTCAAACTTGCTGAGGGTGCACTCGATCCCACCATCCATGTCGCTGACAAAGATGTTGAACAGTACTCGTCCCAAACCCTGATCCCTGAGGAACTCTTCTCATCACTGGTCTCCACTTCGACATAAAGCCAATGACCACTTCCAAAAGGCTTCTATCAGTACTCTGTTATACAGCTGTGCCCCAAACTCTAACCTACAAGTAGGTCAGCTATTTTTGTTCCTTGCATACTTCATTTCAAGTGATTGCATCAAGCAGGAAGTATCAGTTAATAAATCACCTAACACAGCAATGTAAAATAAGAATCTCTATATAAAACCACACAAACATCATAAGGTTATATTTTTGTATGGGTTAAAATGGTTAACTATACCTCATGACATGTTGATTCTTGGCACACTGAACACAGGCATTCCTCAGACATCTGAAACACTCTGCTATGAGCAGCAGGCAGGTGTCTAGATCTACCAATTCACCGGAGTCTTTGCAGGCCTGCTCAATTTCACTTGAGGCACTGATCAGGATTTCCAGGAGATTCCGAAATATGCTTTCTTCTGCCATTTCTCTGAAATAAATAAATTTGTAGTGAACAAAACAAACCAAAAGTGCCACCATGAAAAAATGTCATGACAGTTATGTTTCTTCTTGTAAAGCTAAAGATGTTTCTGTCAATCCTTAGTATACAAGGTCTTTCAAGTAGAAAGAGCAAAATGCACACACACAACTGTCCCATCAGCCCTTTCAGAAAACAGCTGTGAGGCACTTGTGTTGCCTTAGCATTCTTACAGCTTTCCAACAGCTCTTTGGAATCTAAAAAACAACCAAAGAAAAACTCTTCCTAATACATATAGCTAGCATGATTACACTCTGAACACTGCACATTGTTCAAAGATCAGGAATTGATTTAATTAATGGACACAATTTAGATGTTTAGCACTAGATGTTTCCGAAGGAGTTACCAGAAGCTCTGATATAAACCAGCCTGCCACAAATTTCACCAAAGGGAGAGTCTTGAAGAATGCCCGTGGCTGCACTAGCATCATTCTGAAGTGTGTGAATCAAAGCCAAGGGAGAAAGCCAACTCTGTCTACTGCAGCAGAAAACCACCTAAACAAAAAACTACCATGCCACTTCTTCAAGTATCAAGACCTAGCAAAACAACACTACAAAACCATAAGCACATACAAATACTACAGAAACGGATGACAGAGCTGGTGCTGCTGCACCACGCAGCATCAGCAAACTCCCCAGGATCAACACGCACATCTGCAGATGAGCTGTCACACAGACACACACAATGTTTCCAAACTACAACTATTCACATACTCTCTCCCCTGATTTTATGTTCAGAAATGAGGGCAACACATTAAAAACAAAGAATCATAGAATGGGTTGGGTTGGAAGGGGCCTTAAAGATCATGTAGTTCCAACCCCCCTGCCAGGAGGGGCAGGGACACCCTCCACTAGACCAGGTTGCTCACCATGCCTAAGTGTGCTCATCCAGCATCCAGAAGCTGTGGGGCATCCACAGCTTCTCTGGGCAACCTGTCCCAGTACCTCACCACCCTCTCCGGGAAGAATTTCTTCCTGATATCTAATCTAAACCTCCCTGCTTTCAATTTAAACCCATTACCCCTTGTCCTGTCACTAAAGTCCCTGGTAAAAAGTCCCCTCCCATCTTCCTTGTAGGCCATTCAGGTACTGGAAGGTGCTATAAGGTCTCCCTGGAGCCTTCCCTTCTCCAGGCTGAACAAGCCCAGTTCTCTCAGCCTGTCCCCATAGCAGAGAGCCTCCAGCCCTCGGAGCATCTCTGTGGCCTCCTCTGGACTCGCTCCAACCAGTCAATATTCTTTTGCTGTTGGAAGCCCCAGAGCTGGACGCAGAACTGCAGGAGGTGTCTCACAAGTGCAGAGGGAGAGAATCCCCTCCCCCAACCTGCTGGCCACACTTCTCTGGATACAGCCCAGGATACGGTTGGCTTTCTGGGTTGCCAGCGCACACTGCCGGCTCATGGCCAGCTTTTCACCCACCAGCTAACTCGGTTTTGATACTAAGTGCTGGTGAAAAGAAGCCACACCAAAGAGTGTTTATGGCATTGCTATAGGAAAGCTCAATAAATTTGCTCATCCAGTATTTCTGGTCAGAGTCAAAAAAAAAGGGAAATCCAGACGCATCTTCCTTGAACCTTAAACCAGACTTGTCATGTACTCAGATCGAACAGAAAAGTTAGGATCCAAGACATAAGGCTGACAAATACCTTCTAAGCTATGAACAGAAGAAAGCAAGATGAAATGGAAAGTAATTATTAAACAAAATACATTCACATAGAAAATTTTTCCTAAAGGAGAACTTTAAAATGTCTTGATCAAACATTAGTGGATGATACAGTATTGCCTGCATTCTGCTGCTCCCTCACAATGAGAAATTCTACCTAACTTTTGTAATAAGTGATCGCACATACACAAGCCAAGACATGTACACAAACATCATTAAATTACCACATCATTAGATACCAGATCTCCAGAAAATATGCATTTTGTTGTAGAACCTCACAGTTGATCAAGGCCAATACACTTAACAATCTCCAGCTACATAAAAAAATCCACCACAGCATCAGTGAGAATTATCATGAGGGAAAGGGGGAAAAAAACCAACCAAGCTACATTTTATAGTGGCATAATACTGAGGGGAGAATATATCAAAGTGGCACAACCAAGACCAAAAGCAGACTTGGTCTTCAGTCATAAAGAAAACACTGGAACTTATATAACCAGAGAGGGGGTTTGGCATTTGGTTGTGTTGTTAAGACCTCAGAAAAGACATTCACGGGACTTACACTAAGTGGTAAACCTCCTCCTGCTTCATCCCAGGCATGCATGCCAAAGAAGATTCAGTGGCTGATGTACCATAATACACATGGTAAATCCACCCAGGCACAAGTTTCTATACACATCTGCAGAGCCAGGTCTGGTAAAGGAGTGCTCTGTCAGGCCCTGTCCCAGACTCACAAATGCCATGTTTTCTCTTTTGAGTGAAGATGCCACACAGAACCATCAGCTGTTGGTAAGCTGAGTTTTTAAACACTGACATATCTAAAATAGGAAACATCTAGATTCAATTGCAGTTTCCTTTATAAATACAATCCAACATATGGCCTATGCCTATGTGTTGGATTATCACACAAAACTGGTGATTTCCTGACCCAACTTGAAAACGCAGAAGTCAGTGGTCAGTGCAAGACATGTATTACTGTACAAGATAATTATTTGAAATAAGTAAAAACAGAAATAAGAAAAGCTGCAGGCACCTTCGTGCATGTTCTTTTGACTCTACTTTTAAAAGGACACCTTAAAGTCATTCTGATCCCAGGAAAGTTTCCACTCTTGTTACTCTTGTTACAGAGTTATGCAGCAAAATACAAGTTTTAAAAAGAGTAAATGTGATGTACACATGGAAGTGCTGCTCTTCATCACCGGTGTTGAAGCAGAGGTGGATTTTCATTTACTAGTAAAGAGACAGACCTACAAATCTCTCTTGCACACGATGAAAGAAAAAAAACCCTCAAGCCAGAGGTTTCTGGCCACAACTACTCTCTTCCTACAACAGAAAAGAAAAACCTAATCGAACAAGTAAATACTGTTCCAAATGAACAAGGAATGACTTAAAGGCTGTTAGGTAAAAAAGCATTATCTTCAGAGAAGGTTTAAATGTGACTCTTGTACTTCAGCATTTATACATCATTGTACTTTGTGTGCTAAAAAGGAATTTTAATTAAATTCATCCTTCTGCAGAAAAAACTAAAATCCTCAAATCACTGGGGACAGCAGGAAGTGTTTAAAGAAATCAGTCAAGATTTCTTGATTTCAGGTAACTGTTCCACAGCAATGCTTAAAACCATTTTTAAAAAAAAAAATCTTCTTTCCAGTGGTATGTCAAAGATTCACATACGGAAAAAAATAGCAGCTACAAGTATTTTAACTGTATTTTTGAAAAGGAAAACAGGAAAATACTTTCCTTCCATAACCTTTTCCTTAATCTTTAAATATTAATTTATGGAATTGGCAAAGAGACTGTTCAGGAGAATGAACACCTTCTATTGTAAACAGGCCTCTACATTCCTTCACAACTGCAGATACTCCAAAAACTTCTGTTTCCTATGTTTTGTTGCCTAAGACAGGATCTTCACAATTTGCTGCTGCCACGCATCCTTGATTTCAGCCAAGTATTCTGCAAGAATACAAGAGGAAGCAGAAGCAATTGTACAACAGCCCAGCCCTCAGACAAGGAAGACAAGCAGAGTTTCTTGTTAAGTCAAAACAAAGAGTTAGTACTCATGTATCCATGCCAAAAGCGCGATTACTGTCACTTCTTGAAAAATCTAAGTGCTTGATTGCTAAAAAGAGAAATTGCAGAAGATAAGATTGTAGTGAACATGGAGTTAAAAACATTAATGCAACCCTGCTCAAAAGCCTAGAGCTCCACAAATCACTAGTCAGGAACTATGAGAACAACCCAGAAATTTGCAATTGTGTATTTCCACTCTGTTTTAAGTACTTAGACAATTCTACTCCTGTAAGCAAAGTCACTAAAAAGCCTTTAAAATGTTTATCTTCACAATATTCCTGGTAATAAAGCCATTTTCTTCCTTTTATAGATTAATAATGGAAGCATAAAGAAATTGGGTCATTTGCTCAAACGCACTGGAAGTCTCAAGTGAAGTACACAGCTGAATTCACATCTCCCAGATTCCACACCACGGTCTTGGAGTTGGGGCATTATTTTCCTCCGAATTCCAGACCACTAGAACACATTTTTAAAATACTTTGTTTTCACAAGCACTGAACAGTCGCATAATAACAAGAGAATTATCACTGAATATCACCACTTGCAATACCAAATATCCACTGGGTTCTGTCTTCTGGTTCAACAGTACCAACAACACATTTTTCACAGCTGGCAAGTTTCTTGCCAAAGCTGCTCTCAGATCCATTGTACAGGATGTATCATACAGGATGTAAGCTAACACTACAACCTTGTCGTTCTGGAAGGGCAACTACAGTGTCTCTCAGCCCACCCGCACCCACAAAACTTTTCTATTTTGGGAAATATCCACTGACTCCTTTGTCAAACAGCGTGGCACAGGTTTCAAGGAGGAGACAAGAAGCAGGCAGAGAAAGCATCAGCATGTAAGCCCAAAATTAGCAGAGATCTTGCTCTCATCCTAGAGAAATTGATATGAACACCAGAAGGTGGTCTCCTGTACAAAGACCACAAGAGAGTATTTTTAAGTACATCTTTCCCCTGTCCCTCAACTTTTAAATATGGATTTAATTAACAAAAGTAGTACTGGGAATTTAAGGAAAAAACCCAACACCACCACAATTTTATGCTAAGCTGAAAAGTTTGATTTCTTCTTTCTTAAGTGTTGTAACCTTTTCACAGCTACTGTTAGGAGGACTGAGCACAGGATCCCACCAACCTATACTGTCTCCTACCTTTCACGAAGAGTGGAAACCCTTACTATAAGCCCAGTCACACAGCTGACTCTCTGCATGCCCAAC